ATGGCAGTCACAACGACTGCAGTACTGTTGTTTTTCCTATTTAATTCTGCTCGCCGCAGCGTAACAACAAGAACTCTGGGGAGAAGCCTTCTCTCCTGGACACACTATTGCAGGAACTGACAATAAGCACCCTTTGCTTCCCCTCAACCCACTCCCTCTGTTTAGTTCCCTGTGCCCCGGCTTGTGGCTCGGTTCATGGTTTGCCTCTTCATCTCTGTGGAGCTGTTCTCGCTGCCTGGAGCCCTTCCTCTGAGCAGCTCGGGGCACTGATACGGATGTATTCAGGAAGTCCACGTAGTTCTTCTTATTTTCCCTTTTAGCCTTCACTAACATCCCTAGTCTTACCACTGTTCCACGTTTGTTGAATGTTTCCATGTTACATGTTTGTGAATTCCAACCTATATAAAATAACCTAAGATGTAAATGCTATACTGTTGGGCCTATGGATAAATGTGTGCATGTAAATGTACTCTACAAGTAATAAATGATTTGCATAACATGTAGAGACATAAGTATGGAGGTGATATGCAGAAAGCCTTCATTTTGCTAGTATTTCTTATTCATCCAAGTGTGTTAGGAAGTAAACTACAAGTCTTAAACTACAAGTCTTAATATTCTTCTTCATAAATGATAATAAATAACTCACATAGCAAAAGTTAATTTAGTTTCTTTGTATTATTAAGACATCATTAATTCATCCAAAAAAGTCCTATACATGACAGGAATTATTCTAATAGCCTACTAAAAATGCCAGTCATATTAATAAGTTAACTAACAAAGTGACAGTGTCTTTCCTCAAGGGGCTCATGGTCCCAGAGCAGGAAGAGAAACATGCATCAATTTCTCTGTAATTATAGTGATGCAGGATAATCATATAATGGAACAATGTATGGCCTATAGAAGATGCAACTGCATGGGCTTAGGGGAGTCAGGGGTAACTTCACAGAAGAGGGAGTGTTTAAGGAGAAACTTAAAGATTAGGGAGGGCCACAGGCAGGGGATGATGAGAAGGGAAACAGCAGGGGTAAGCGTGGAAGAACGTGAAACCAGAGAGTGTTCAGGGAAAGTCAGTTCACTATTAATATGTGAAAAAAAAATAGTGGAAGAAGAGGAAATAGGAGAAATAAAACTGCAAAAGAGCAGTCCTGATAGTAAAAGCCTTGTATACCATGGAAAGGGCTGCAGATGCGATTCTATAGAAAGTCAGTAATATTTTGATATTTGTGGTACTTATACCTTGTGCTTTTAATTAATATTTAATTCATTGAAGTTTATGCAAAGGCCTAATTTATTTTAAGTACTTAAATTTACATAATATGACTTGCTATTCTATTTATACAGCTAGTAAGTTTTATTTAAGTAACTCTTTTTAGGGGGAGCTTTGATTAATGATTGGACAACTCACACTAAATTCTTTCAAATCAATAGTTATATTTATGAATTTAGTTAGTTCCCTTACAAGGTTTACACTGTATGTAAAAATTTATATATTGAATTTTTAAGCATTATTTTTAAGATTTTCAAATACCTGACTGAACAAATTTAATAACTCTACTAAGCAATAGCCCTTCCAAGAACCTAAATGATTCTTAACAATCTATTAAACCACAACCAGTCGTCTGAGATATTAGACTTTTATTTGCAATTGGATTTTTCTTAGTTTTTTAAAAACATTTATTTTGAAACAACTTAAGCATGCAAAATGCAAAGAGAATAGTGTAATTAACTCCCATGTTCCCTTAACCAACTTCAACAATTGTAAACTCATTACCAATCTTATTTCATCTACTCTCCCACCCACCTCTCCCTCTTCTCATATTATTTTGAAACTAACACCAAAAATTATATAATTTCACCCATAAATATTTTAGTAGGTTTCCCTAAAAATAGACTCTATCTATTAATATAAAACTTCAAGTCATTGTTCAAATTTCCTGTTTTCTCTTAAATTGTGTGTGAGTTTTTTGTTTGTTTGTTTGAATAAGAATTCAAACGAAGTCTAACATCTTCGTTGGCTTATATGTTTTGTAACTCTTTTAAGCTATAGGCTCATCCTCTATCACTCTTCTTTTATTTATTGCAATTTATTTTTTGAACAAATCAAGTTGTCTGTGGACCTATAATTGCCCACAGTCTAGAATCTGCCGATTGCTTTTCCACTATATAGCTTATGTGTTCCCCTTTGTATGTATTTCTTATAAATTAGTAGTTGGATATAGAAGCAGCTTTATCAGATTTATTTAAGTATGCGTGTGTGTCGGTGCACATGACTCCTTCGTAGTGACGGGGGATTCTTTTGGTAGGAGTTCATAGTGTTTGGTTGACTTTCTTAATGATGTCAGCCGCAAATAGCAATCAACACCTAGAGTCTTTCCTTTTCAACTAAAGTCAAGTCTAACTCACGAATTTTAAATGATGTGGCACATCTAACTGAATATTACCTCATATAACTAATCTCTTAAATATTACAAATGCTTAAAAATATTGAACATATGTATATTGTCCCAATGATTATAAAACTTATTCCACAAATGTTTGTACCGTGGGTTTGAATTACTCCATTATTTTTGTGTTTAATCCTAAATATTTCAGGATCTAAAGAGTCTCAGTAAGAGAAACAAACATCTTGTCATGACCAATTAACACTTAGCTAAATAGAAATTTATGCATATGTAAAAGCTGAATTTTAAATGTAAAAGAGCCTGTTGACTAATGGTTTATGGTCGCATGTTTACCATCTGAGGTGGAGACACGTGTGCCCATGGCAATTTTTCCTGAGCCACAAGTGTGCCCACTGAACTCTTTTTATGGTCTCAGTGATAATAAGGTGCTTCCACCCCACATTCTTTAAATAGGTTAAAGGTTAAATTCTTTAAATAAGAAAGGTTAAATTTTCAACCAGAATCTCTTGGATTCAGGTAACATTCTCTCTCGTCCTTAAAGTGGCTTGAGTATTGAACATAAGAGTGACATAATCTTATTTTTGTGTTTGAAATATCACTTTGGCAACACTATGCAGAAGGGGCTGTACTCATGTCTAGCTAGAGAAAGGAGAGAAGACATTAAGTATGGAGAACTGACAAAACTTGATGGATTTAATATGGGACTGAGAAGAGTGAGAAGTAAAGGATGACTTGAGGCTTAGGTGAATATGTGAATTGTGGTACCACTCACCAAGGTACAAAACTTAGTAAGAAAAACAGATTTAGGCTGAGATGGAGGAGGGAAACCTCAGCTTCTGAGATGTGACTATAGAGCCAGCAGTTGGACATCTAAGTAAAGATAAATAGGTAGATAGATAAAGAGAGAGTGAACTAGAAAGATGATAGATAGATAGATAGATAGATAGATAGATAGATAGATAGATAGATAGATAGATAATATATAAAATTCAAAAAATAGTCCTGGACTAGAGATTTCAATATGGAAGTCACCAAGTTTAAGATAATATATGAAGCTTTGGGGGTATTTGAGACCATTCAGTGACAGAAGTAGCGTGAAAAAAATGAAGAAAGCCAAGACCAGAACACAAAAAAAATCATCTCTTAAAGGAGAAGTCAGAGGAAAATAAACCGCAAAGGAAATTGTGGGATAGTGGCCAGAAAGACAAGAGTTGAAACAGGCAAGATTTGTCATTGTAACAAAAGAGACTCAGGGAAGGCAAAGTGACCAATGCTGTTAAGGACCACAAAGCAATCAATCAAGTAAGATGCAGGCTGAGAGATGTCCAGTGGATTTGGTAGTTAAGTCTTTCAGGAGTCGTTTCAGGCAGGCTTGGCAATAAAAGCCAGATTGTTCACAATGAAGAAATGACAGGGAGGAGAGGAAATAAAGTCAGTGACTTTTTCTACTTTGGCTGGAAAAAGCAAGATTATCTTGTGGAGATATAGAGGATTTAGAAAGGCAAAGAGAAGTATTTGCTCTTTATAAATGAGAGTCAAATGGGCTGAGGAAGAAAAACAAACAGTGAGATATTTAGGGATAGAGAGTAGAGAAGAGGAACAATAATAATAATATAAATAATACACTGATGTGCAGAAGAAAGGCAATAAAAGGATTAAGATCACTGAGAACTCATATAGGATTAAGAACATGGGTGAAAAGAATATTTTTGATAGGGAGAAGGTAAGGATGGTTATAACTGTAGCTAAGTTTATGGATTAAAAGAATTTACTTTCTTAAGAGAGTTCACACCCAATAACTGTTATTTTATCAGTAAAATAAGAAACAAGATCATCTGATTACAGAGGAGGGGAATAGGAGATTTAAAGAAAGTAGTGAACATTTTGAATAGCCATTGAGAAAAATGATACGAAAGGGTCAATTAGAAAAAAATGTAATGAGATTATAGAATAGCGTAGAAGGTATAGTTGAGATTTGATGTAAGTTATTTGTGATATCTGAAATCAATAAAATGACAATTCTCTCCAGCTATGCTAATCAACCTGAGACTAGAAATAAAAAACATAGATGGTTCCATAAATCATTAGGGATCTTCCAGGCCCAGGTATTAATAGCTATTAAGAGCAGTTGAAGTGAAATGGTTTAAATGAAGCGCCTTGGAGTCCAAGCCACAAATGATGGGAGTAAAGCCATGTGGGGAACACCTGGAAAAGAGGAAGGAGTCAAGGACTGGAACTAACTCCCTTGGGTATCTATACCATAAAACCAATCAGATGCCTTCAGACTCCCTGAATCGAATTATTGACATACTGCTGTTTTAACAAAAAACACATTGTTCCCTGAAGCAATGAATTAACTGTACGTGTTCACTACGAATGGACAGTTCTGTGCCCCAGCTCCCCGGCTCTCCATTTCTGGCAGCAGTAGCAGCATAATGACTCTTCTCATCTCCCCTAATGACTTCTGAAGTTTGGCATCAGAGAAGATATTAAAAAGAATAAGTTTTAAAAAGTACCCTTTTATTCTTTTTTTCTTTTTTATTGTAAGGTGAACATCTACTTGTTCAATTTTTACTTTTTCTTCTCTCTTGTTTCCAGGAGCCCTGTAAATGAGGAGAGTCGAGATGGTGGCACGCACTTTGATGGTAAGGGGCAAAAAGATGTTTCATTTATCTTTTTGTTACCTTGTATTACGAAATTTTAAGTTAATCATTCTCATCCACTTATTAATGGATCATCATCATTGATCCATGCAAGACTCTTCTCTGGTTTTACTTATTTATTTATTCATTTTAATGACTTACTCCCTTTCCTCTCTTCCCCTTACCAGAGACAAATATTTTAATGTGTTTAACGTGTATGTGTCTGTACATATTCTCTGCATACTGTTGTGAGGCAAACGTGATAACCACTACACTACAGAAACCCCTTCTGCATACTGTTGGATGTGTGCATATATTTCGGTTTATATAAAAACTACATTAGCACTGACTTTGATCTTTTTTTTTCTACTCAACATAATGTGTTTGGGGGGACCCACCCATGTTGTTATACATATTATATTTAATTTGTTGCTGTTAACGAGTGCATAAGTACTCCACAGTATGCATATTAAGTACTCCATGGTATGCATCCTATGCATTCACATTTTACCCCTAACTCATTAGTACCACAAATAATAATCCAATGTGCCTTCTTGCCCTTACATGGACCTCTGAGAGACTTCTTTTAGAGAGAGAGAGAGATCCCGTAGGGATGGTTGCTCATAGTCTATGGCATATTCATTTTGACTGAGTAGGACTAGAGAGCTCTCCAGAAGATCTTTGTCTGTGTAGACTCTCATCAGCAGGACAGAAGATTCCAAGATGCCTCCCTTTCACCAGTCCGTGGTATATTGAGCTTTCCAATTGCTTCCAATCTTATATGTATAAAATGCTATTTCATTTTCATACCTCTGTTTGCTGTTGAGTCTGAGTAATTCATTTGTTTGTTAGCTTTTGTGTTTCTTCTTCTGGAAGTTTCCAGTTTACGTCCTTTGACCATTTTTTTTGAGGGGTGGGGTGAGGGTTGGTCTCCTTTTCTGGATCACGTGCAGGAGTTCTTTGTATTCCAGATATTAATCCCATATCAGTTGCAGGCATTGCAGATACCTTCTCTCATTCTGTTATTAATTTAGCCGATGCTGTCCTTTACTGAATATAATAAATATAATGCAATCAAAATTATTTTTATCTTATAATTTATGCTTTATAATTTTATTGAAGAAGTTTTATCCCTAGGAAATAAAAAAACTACCTTCTATTTTCTTCTATGAACTTTATCCCTTATACTTAGATCTTTAACCTCTTTTCAGTTCACCTTTAAGGAATTAGTAGAAATCCAGGCTTGTAGCCTCATGTATGGAGCCAGTTTTCTCATTGCCATACCCTCAAATCCACCTTTTCTCATTACCTTATAATGCCATCTTTATACCATATCAACTCTGTGTGTGTTTGTGTGTGTATTCCATGTCTGTATGTATGCATCTGTCTCTGAGCTCTCTATTCCATTGATCCGTTTCTATACCTACACCATACTGTTTTTATTATTGTTGTTTTAGATTATGTCTTAATATCTAGTAATTGATATTACTAAATACTTGAGTGGTAAAATATCTGGTTTTTAAAAAGCTAATTAACTTGGTTTGTTTGATACATGAAAGTGAATCAAAGGAAGTCAAAAAGTGCAAACTAGTAGTGATCTTCTGATAATAACTTTGGTCCAGACAAGCCCAAAAAAGCAAATGCGTATGCTTTTCATAAGGAGAATAAAGGGTGTCTTCATTAGCTTATGGAAGCCAATGAAATGATTGTATAATTAAATTACAAGTTATCAAAAAGACATAAGGCTCTAAACCACATATTCTATTTCATGCTTCTATATCTTTGATAAAATATAGGTTTTGTTAGATTGTGAGCTGTCTGGAATATTATGTTACATCTAACAACCCTATATTAAAGTGCTTCTTAAATACAGTATGTTATTCTTTTTTTAACCCCTTTAGGTACTGGAAACCTAGATGAGGTCAGTTTTCTTTTTCCTTCTCATATTACACTGCTGTAACTAGAATATTTAACAAGTATTGTGATTCATTTTCTATTGGTATAAACTCACAAATGAAAATTCTTATGAGTAAAGATGATATTTTTCCAATTATGATCTTAGTTCATCTAAAATGCTTGAGACATTAAATACTAATCATTATTCCAACTCATAGTAATTTTGTGGCACTGAACATAAACTTAAGTCATGCTACACATCTGAATTATATAGCAGGATATAAAATGAAATCTTTTGGGGTTTACTTTCCTAGTCTATCTCTAAAAAGGAAAAAAAAATCTTAAATAAGCCAAACTTATATACACTTAAATTTATGCTTGTTTTACTTGATCTATGTAATATGTGTATGATCCCGTTTTGAATAATTAAAAGTAATTATTATTCATTTTTTCTGACAGGAAGAAAGTGAAGGAGAAACATATGAAGACATGTATGAGTTACTTTTTTAACATGATATTTTCCCTCTAAGATGAATATAATGATTTGTAGGAGGGAGGGTGGATGGATATTCAGCACTTGGGCAGAAAAGCTTTATTGTTCAAATGACTGGCATATAATGGTAACCTTTATTTTAATACAGAAGACTAAAGATCCTTTACTTGTCTGAGGATTTCACAGAGGGCTCTGTAAAATGCTAAAAAATGCCAGACTAGCCTCTAGATAGACAACATGTTTGTGCTCTTGTATGTATGAGCACATGGATATCAGAGAGAGAGAGGGAGGGAGAGATATTAATTCTATTCATGCTGACAAGCGGCAAGAACGGGGCCTTTATAAATGGTGCCTTCCACGTGTTGGCACCAACTGTAAGTGAAGGCAGAGCTTTTGGAAGAGATCTCATTTGTATGCGCCCTACTGGGTTTAAGAACAATCTCACACACCCAGGAACGTTGACAACCCTTAGCTGTCTACCTTCATCTAGACTTCAGATACCACTTCTGTTGTGGGTAGAAACCTCTCTGGATAACAAGTCTTATCCCATCAATGCCTGCGGCTGATGAAACAACCTAACAATATTTATCTACAGAGAAACATCCAAGGAACGAGAGAAGAAAAGGGAAAAGGAGGAAAAGAAGAGGCTAGAGCTGGAGAAAAAGGAACAGAAAGAGAGAGAAAAGAAAGAACAAGAGATAAAGAAGAAATTTAAAGTAAGAACTTGCTTGCTAATAGGTAGAAAAGAGTAACCTATTCTTATAATTTTCACACAGAAAGGGGACCATCCTTGAACCCTTACATGGTTGAAGAATTACTTAATAGTTGTTTTCTAAGGAGTAACTATCCTTGCAAGAGACTTTTTTTTTTTTTTTGCCAACACCCTCCCTTATCCCTGAACTAAAAATATAATAAGATAAAATTCAAATAAAGTATGGTGGCTTATAATTAGTGTGCACCCAGGAAATGTGTTGACTGAGTGAATGAATACTCAGCTATGCGAACCCATTGTGGCTCTTACTTCGCATTAACCTCCGTTTGCTATGAGCTTTGACCACACACCTCCTCAAGGCAGGAAGTATAGTGTTGCTGGGGATGCAGTGTCTCCAGATGAACCAGACCTGACTCCGAGTCAGGCTTCTGTGAGCTGCTCTCACTGCTGGTGTCTAGACCTGACTTTATGCCTGCCTTGATTTTAAGTCTATGTACATGTCGACTTCTGATACCCACTGCTTCTCACCCCTCTTCTCCTACCTGGATTTCCGACCCATGTCTCCTCTAGCCTCTGACTTCTAATTGTGTGACTTGTGTTACCACCCCTAACACTACCCTTGCAGGCTGCCTTCTCTTGGCTACACCATCTGAGATGACGTGGTCTATTTAATGTGGTCTTGCACGTCAGCTATAGTTTAAAATGAGGTACAAAAGTATTCTTTACTTTGAAAAGGATTCATATTGTTTCCTTTAAACATTTAATTCCCCTGAAACATTCACTACATGTTTTAAATTATTAAAAATTTGATTTATATATAACTTCTCAGTATATGTATTATATTAAAACAAGGTTCAACAGCATGGTGCAGAGAAAATGTAAAGCCTAGTCAGCTGGGCAGATGTGAATTCAAATTCCAGAAATACATGTGAGTTATGTGATCGTGGGTATATTACTAAACTTCTAGGAACCTCAGATTCTTATTCTTTAAGGAGAAAATAAATGATACCTCTCCTAAAAGGTGGGTGTGGAATTAAATAAAAGAATGCACATAAAGCACCATATCTATTAGTGGTTCTCATTAAATTTGGAAAAATCTTACTATATGTATACGTAAAATTAAGATTACAATGTTAATATTAGAACATTTTATTCATACAAATTGTATGGCTACCAACATTTATATTTTCAAATGAAAAATATAAAAAATTAATTTTTTAATGAAAATCTTCACAACACACATTTAAGAAAAGACTGCTTATAGTTTTAAAAAAATTATAGGAAATTTTTTCTTGTGTTTCTTTTGGAGAACTCAATTTTGCAATTTTCACTCATTCAAGTGGCATATTTAGTAAGAAAAAAATGGTGTGTGGGAATCATATCACTAAATATGAATTCAAAAGTTTGTCAAGACTAGGACTGTATGTCTTCCACAAAATGTTAATAGATGTTAAAGTAAATAAATAAATATAATAACTATTACATGGTACCATATTTCATTAATTCTAAGACATGAAATATTTGACATTTTAAAATTCTAACATTAGGATGCATCTTAATATTAGTGGTACATCATAATTTAATTTAAGCTGTTTGCTTTCTTTCTCAGTGGATATAATTAATGATATGTCTCACAATCCATAGCATCATAAGAACAATGAAATAAGGTACAGCTTCTTTAAAACTCACAATTCCACAAATTCCCCCCCCAAAAAAAAACAACTCACAAATTCCATTTTAGAAGACATCAATTCAAGATTAGGAAATTTGATTGTTAGGATTCATAGTCTAAACCAGACCATTCCCCTGCTTTCAAGAAACCACTACACTATATTAATTTTTAAAACCACACAACACTTGTTTGCTATGTTTTTAATTTACAAAGCTATTTCTAAAGCGTTATTTTGTTTACAGCAGATAATGTCTACTCCACATTTGTAGACAGACAATGTCACAAAATTAAAAAAAAAGAAAAAGAAAGAAAATGCTTTTCCCAGGAGTACACCCACCACTACCACCTACCCTTCCCTTTGCTGTTCTAGACCTGACTAGAACCATCAAAATAAGTTCACAAGGTGAAGTGCAGAAAAGCCTTTGCCTACCAAGCAGACCACCAGCATCTCCCATAAAAACACACAGCGCCCAGAGTGGATTGTCGTACATAAGTGGTATTCGGTTACAAGTGGCTTCTTTTGCTAGCCTTTCACAGAGGCGCTGAGGTCCCCAGGTCACCGCCCTCTCCGGGAGCCCCTGCGCACGCGCCTGCTCTTGCTGGTCTTGCCTGACCCTGATGGATTTTCCCTAACTTCTCCTGCCCTCAGTTTTTAGCCTAAACCTGTAACTGTTGGAAATAGGCAGATTGGCAAATTGTAAACATACTGGCTTTCAAAACTGCATTCCTTGAAGTTGTTCTGAATAGCAAGGAAACCTGTTGTAATTCTTTTTTTCTTGTTGCAGCTCACAGGCCCTATTGAGGTCATCCATCAAGCCACAGCTTGCTGTGATGTCAAAGGGGGAAAGAATGAACTGAGCTTCAAGCAAGGAGAGCAGATTGAAATAATCCGCATCACAGACAACCCCGAGGGAAAATGGCTGGGCAGAACTAGCAGAGGGTCATGTGAGTGCAAAAGTTCCTAGGACTTCAGAATGTCATCTCTTTGAGCCAAAATGAAATGTGCAAATGTGTCCAGAACTACTCATAAGCATTGAGTAAGGAGTTTTGTTCCAAGCAGACAGAGATAGGAGGATTTAACCTGACAAGTAGAGTTCCATTTTCACCTTGTTATCTTTGAGCAGAGAACAATGTAAATGTTTATGCTGCTCCAGGGAGGCAAACAGGGTTGGGGGGGGGGGGGGGGTATGTTCCTCACTGATGTTAAAAGGAAAATCAAAAGAGTCATGTGAATCCCTTTGGAATCTTGAAAATAGACTCTATACTTACTCCAAACCACAACAGCATAAAACTGTGTGTCTGTCTGGGAAGTCTATAAATCAAAATTGCAAGCAAACAAACAAGGGGCCATGTTAAAGAGCAAATGTGCAATTGGTATTTTGTTTACCACTTGAAAAGATTGAAGCTGCCCTTACCTGAACACAAATCATTCTCCTTTTGGTAGATGGCTATATTAAAACAACTGCTGTGCGGATTGACTACGATTCCCTGAAGCGGAAAAAGAACTCTCTCGGTGCTCTTTCATCGAAGCCCATTGAGGATGACCAAGAAGTGTACGATGACGTGGCAGAGCAGGATGAGGCCAGCAGGTGTGTAACACAGATCAGACTGTCTCCTTGCCAGAAATTAGGGACTTTACGGTCATTCCATGGGTCCTATTGCTCTCTACCACTAAACTGAGTTTATATATATAAACCACCTATATTGGAGCTACTGTACACAGTGACTGTAACTCCAGTATAGGTGCCAGTTCACTGGAAACAGCAGGCTCTTTTATTTCATTCTTTGGTTACATGTATCAAGTGCTACTTGAAAAATAATGGGCCATGTGCCAAATCTAGTCAAATCTGTTGTCATTCCAAAATGCTGTTCTATAACATTCATTCTAATTTGATCTTAAGGATTTGATGCCTAAAATAAATATAATTTTGTAAAATATGAAGCCTAAAAATATAACATTCAGTTTTAAGAAATATAAAACTTTTGCTCTGAAATCTTTGAGTCTAATATACTTGTTATTCTTATTTGAACATAAAACAGAAAAGGAATGCTTTTTACTACAACTCTACTTTGCTCTTTAAAAGTACAAAAGTGAAAACTCAATTCCCTACTATTGCAGTGTATCAACTTAAGGGGCCAGCTTTCCATCGCCCATCCATTCCACTGGATTAGGATGAAGTTGCTTCCCAGGGCAGGGGGACCGAACAAGACATCCTTCGTGGAGGAGCCAAGAGCGGGGAGGGGCCCTCTTCCCCCGGGGGGCCTCTTCTTCCCTTCTTCCCCGTCAGTCTTCCGCTTGCTCTCTCTGTGCCTCCTCTTCTCTCCTTTCCCTCGCTCTGATCTTCTCTGGCTTTTCTTCTCTTTCCTGCTTTTCCATTCCCCCTCTCCTCTTACTTCTTCTTTGTTCCAGTATCTCCCCTTCCTGGTAAAAATCACAAACCCTTCAAGCTGAAGGGAGAGGAAGAGAACAATCTCCGGCCACAGAAAAGAGCCCTCGTTTCCCTCGGCCCGCACTACGGCATTGGGAACCGGCCTCTGTGCAGCCGAAACACAGGACCTGTGTTGGACCTTCTCTCGGGCAAAAATGTGCCTGCATTCTTCCTAACTCAAACTTCAAAGAAAAAATGTTTTCATTATCAACCATTTAAAACATAAAACTATCAAAATAGGAGCATAAGAAGAAGGAAACATCTCTCTTGCGGTCTCTTCGTCATCAATGAAATCACTTGTGTTACTTTCTGGCAATTTTGTCTTTCTAAAATGAAGTATAGCCTGCAGTGCCTTCTCCCCACATTATGACCACAAATTATGCAATAGCATATTACAACATGCGATGTATACCCTCACATTTACAGATCATGGATTGGCTTTAGTCAGCAGAAGCCCATTGACCTAGGGTTAGGAGTCTGTAAATGTCAGTTTCAAGGTCCGGTGAAGTTCTAAATGGTCATAGTCAGAGGTTTACAAATTTTTTTTAACACATGTCATTCCACATATATGATCATGTTATAGTATGTTTACATTTTACTTACTTTTTTTCAAAAATGCATTTTTCTTTTTTGGGCAGCTGAAGAACCACAGTGAAGTTAATAAATACACATGGACACTGAAGCACATATGCAAGAAAAATAGTAAATCCATAAAAACAAATGATGTGCTTAAAATGAAGCATTAGCAAGTCTATACACACCACAACTCTGAGAGACATGCTTCAGTTAGTAAACAAGCAGTAGAGAAAGAATCTTTTATTTAATAAAATGGAACTGGGGGAAGTGTATGGTTTTAATGCTCCACATCTTAAAGAAGTAGAGAACCACAATATTTACTAGCCTCTATTTCTCACATGTATGCTTAATAAGAAAATGAAAGAAGAGACAGCATTTCTACACAAGCTTTGTTTTTGAAACTACAGCTGCTGCTGGCAGGGATCTTATAACAGAACGCACTTTGTCCTCAGTCGCACAAGGACAGATGCTGACAATGGCCGGCAGCCTGCCCTGGCGGAACGAGAGAGGGCACCGTCCTCTCCTCCCTCCCCCTCAGGCCTCCAGGCCCCTCGCACTCCATACCTGCTCCTTCCCGATCCCCCAGGGTAAGGAGAGCTGACTGTGCACTTCAAGCGCAACAGACAAGGGGCTTAAAACCACAGGTCCTGACCTCTGTCCTTCTCTCTTTCTTCTCATGTAAGGACGTTTCTGGAATGAAGATGAAAATTGAAGGAAAGGAAATTACTAAGGCAGATTCCTATCCTCCATCACTTGGCAAACATTTTTCTGTGTACGGTTGCCCAGTCTTTTTCCTTCCATTTATTCTTTTCTCTTTCCTTCTCTTTTCTCACACTCTCCTCTCTTAGCCTCTTGTTCATCTGTTAAATGTTTTGTATTCTAAACAGTGTATTAGGAAGCTGAAGAATTGCTCTAATAATGAAATAACATGTGGCAGCTTTGCTCCTGGTTATTAAAACCATGTCTCTGAGAACTAAGAATGAGCATCTCCAAGATGGGATATATTTGCCAAGAGTGTCAGCCAACCAGACTGAAACTCTTCACAGAATTCTAACTTTTTGCTTTATGCTCAAAAGGAAGTGTCAGAGAAAATGAGTATGAAAACGGTATGTAAGTAAAGAAGATACTTAAGCCCTAGCTGGTGTGGCTCAGTGGATTGAGTTCTGGCCTGCAAACCAAAGGATTGCCGGTTCAATTCCCAGTGTAGAGTACGTGTCTCGGTTGCAGGCCAAGCCGCCAACAGGGGGTGTGAGAAATACAAACAGTCATTGATGCTTCTCTCACTCTCCCTGTTTCTTCCCATCTCTAAAAATAAATAAATAAAATCTTTTTTTAAAAAAGAAGATACTTACACTTCCTCAAAGTTCATTTTTAATTTATATGTTACAACATTTATGGCCTGTTATTCTATAAAGTTCCATTAGCAAGACTGTTTTTTATTTCTAAATTAACCGTAGCTGTGCATTAGACCACTTCCTTTGATCTGACTTTAAGGTTGAGGAGTCACGTTTTAGTAGATGATTATACGGTGCTGTTGTACCATCAGACTGGTATCTGTGCAGGTAGATTATCCGCAGGGAAAACACAGAGGCCCAGGGAGTGCAGCCGGGGGCAGCCGAGCGTTTTATGGGAAGGCAGGATGCTGAGGTTCCTATCTCAGCTCTTCAGTTCATTGAAAGGCTTGGTCCAATCATTTGATTTCTCAGAACTTCCATTTCTTTTCTGCAGATTGAGGGAACTGAACCAGATGAATTCTGAGATTTTCCAATTCTCACAATTTATACTTCCTTTGCTGTCACAGAACTCACATTTTAGTGGCAAATACAGGCAAGAAAACAGGTGATTGTAATATAGGATATCGAATGTTATAGAAATAAATGAGAAATAGTAATATAAGCAGTCTAGATTTAGGAAATCTAAGAGCCACACTCCATAAAAGCCCCATGAATAAGGTCTCCATTTTTTAGAAGTTCTCCCTTTCAAAATAAAACGTAATGCTTTGGGACTAAGAGTAAAATGCTGTGGTTATAAGATGTTGAAAGAGAATTAAATTTAATGCAATAATGGTTCTATATTACTCTTGGAATAATACTCACTTAAAAAAAAAATAAACCCATCTGTGGAATGATGTAATAATGTATAATCTGAAAATTGCCTTATGGGAAAATGTAAGAAGCAAACAGTATCATTGTTTTGAATGCTTGATGTGGTACCAAAACTCACTTGATTCTTCTTAGGTTGGTTTTGTGTTGTATTTTGCCTTGTTACTACGCAGCCACACATAATATTCTAAAAACTTTTAACTGGGTATTATTTCTTTCTGGTATGACTGCTGAATATATATACTTCTCTTCCTAATAACTAAATAATTCATATTAATTTAATTTGTCTCTGTTTTTTTTCCTAGCCACAGTCACAGTGGAGGTGGAGGTAAGCCACACATTTTCAGCAGAAATTTCTCAAAGTCTCACATATTTTTGCATACATTAATGACAAAATGCTTTTGTTTTCACCTGACAAAGAGCATAATAAAGTGGTAGAAAGAACACTGGACTGAAACCAATGACCTGGATTTCAGTCCCGGTCACCAAGTGACCCTGAGCAATTCAGTTCTTTCTCCCTGGTTTGCTGTGACTCGTAGGGTGACTCCACTTTCAGTGCCCAGATTTACGTCAATGGTACTGGCGTAATTATTAAGAGCAGCCTCTTTCACTTTCAGAAGTGTCTGTGGATGATAACTTACTTGGTTACCTTGGCCGTGACTCCTAAAGACCCTTGTCTTCTCATCAACAAAACAAGGGAATTTTACTAACACCTCGCAGTGCTAACATTCTCACCCCAATAGTCTTAATTTCAAGTTCATGGTACATATTTTTTTTATTGTTGTCCAATAACAGTTGTTTTCATTTTCCCCCATTATTCTCTTTACTTTTTAACTGAATTTATTGTTGTAACATTGATGAATAAAATAATGTAGGTTTTAGGTGTATAATTATATAATACATCATCTGTATATTGCATTGTGTGTTTACCACCCCAAGTCAAGTCTCCTTCCATCTCCATTTATCGCCCTTTACTCTCTTCTGCCCTCCCTACCCTTCTTCCCCTCTGGTAACCACCATACTGTTGTCTGTGTCTATGAGGGGCTTTTGTTTGTTTTGGTTTGGCTTGGTTTTGCCTAATCGCTTCACTCCCTCCCTCCCCCATGACAGCTGTCAGCTGTCAGCCTGCCCTCTATGTCTGAGTCCATTCCTGTTTTGCTTATTAGTTCATTTTGTTCATTAGATTCCACATATGAGTGAAATCACATGGTACTTGTCTTTTTCCGATGGCTTATTTCACTTATATAATGTTCTTCAGGTCCATCTATACTGTTGCAAAGGATAAAATTTTCTTCTTTTTTACAGCAGAGTAGTATTCCATTGTGTAAATGTCCCATAGTTATTTCATCTACTCATCTGTCAAAGGACACTTGGGCTGCTTCCAAATCTTGGCTATTGTAAATAACGCTGCAATGAACATAGGGGTGCATATATTCTTTTGAATTAGTGTTTCAGATTTCTTCAGATACATTTCCAGGGTAGAACGCTGGGTCATCAGGCAGGTCCATTTTTTATTTTTTGAAGTAATTCCATACTGTTTTCCACAGTGGCTGCACCAATCTCATTCCCACCAACCGTGCACAAGGGTTCCTTTTTCTGCACATCCTCACCCGCACTTGTTTTTTGATGATTTTTCGAAAACAGTCATTTTGACTGGTGTGAGGTGATATCCCATTGTGGTTTGCATTTGCCTGATGACTAGTGATGTTGAACATCTTTTCATATTTCTATTATGATCTGCACTTCCTCTTTGGATATTTTATTTAGGTCTTTTGCCCATTTTTCTGAATTGGATTGTTTGTTTTTTTTGGTGTTGAGTTTTATAAATTCTTTATAAATTTTTTATATCAACCCCTTATCAGATGTATTATTGGCAAAATATTCTCGCTTACTGTACATATTCTTGCACAGAAAAGGTACTCAATAAACATTTGTTAAACAAATATTTGTCAAATACCAAGGTTCCTGAGGATTGTGTAGGATAACAAATCAAACAAGAAAGGGTTTAACTTTTAAAATATCACGTTGATGATATGAAATAAAAGAAACGAATGGTTTGTTTCAGCTACCATCAATATTTACTAATTTGCCCTGGCTGGTATGGCTCAGTGGATTGAGTGCCAGCCTGTGAACCAAAAGGTCACTGGTTCAATTCCCAGTCGGGGCACATGCCTGGGTTGTGGGCCAGGCCCCCAGTTGGGGGCATGCGAGACGCAGCCACACATTGATGTTTCTCACCTTCTCTTTCTCCCTCCCTTCCCCTCTCTCTAAAATAAATAAATAGATAAGTAAATAAAGTCTTTTTAAAAATTATTTTAAAAGAAGGAAAAAAATATTTACAAATTCACATTTTATTACCTTTGCTTTTCTTCACTTCTATCTTGATTAGTAGCTTTTCCTAGATTTCTTCTCAATATCAAATTGTTCTTATCACCTCCCCTTCTCTTTTTCAACAATAAATATTAAAGTCTATTCTCTATTTTATTTTTGTTTTTCTAATATTTATTCTATCAATTCTTTTCATCTCCAGTGCATAGCACATTTTTTATCCCTCATATTTTTATTATCATATCAACCTTTTATCTCTAAGAATTCTGTGTAATCAACAGAAAAATTTACCTACTATCTGTAAGAGCGTGGGATAGCAAAATTATTTTTTCCTTAAATAAGATGAAAAAGGGATGGTTTCTTCAGTTAAATAAGGCAGATTTATTATTAAATTTTGAGTGACTACTACATAACCAAATTACAAAATTAACAGATTTTCTCACCTTTATCCAAATGAAGGGTTCCCGCCTCCCCCAGATGATGATATTTATGATGGGATTGAAGAGGAAGAGGCTGACGATGGGTAAGAATAACCCGTGAATGGCCTCCTTGCAAGTTATTGTATTTACTGCAATTTAGTATTGATTTCTAGTTAGAATAAAAGGCAAAGAATAATGTTTTTTATTACATTAACAAAAATGATTTAGATGTTTAAAGCCAAAGTAAATTGGGAAGTGTAATTATACCTCACTTCAAACTGAAGTGGTATTTGGTTTGGAAAAACTTGGACAACTATGTCAAATGAAAAGAGATAAAGAGTTATAGGGCTTTTAGTCTTTATTTTCCAAACTTGTCCCAATTATTTATTTATCAGTTGATAATTTACTTTTATAACAATCTCTGAAGAGTGTATTGACTACATGGCTATCCTTTGTATAATAATCATAATTATAGAAAACCCAAATAAATTGAGACCATATTCTATCTGTGGCAAAACCAGAATGAATACCCAATCCTTTAGTTGTTTAAACTTTTGAAATGGCATATTTTAAAATTTTGGGTCTATTAGTTACCTAATTTTAATAAAAAAATAAAACTAAATTCATGTTTAAAACTTAATCCTGACTTAGCTTACTATTTTAAGAACCAATAGAAATCTCACCAAATAGAACAAAATACAACTTACCTACTATTTACCTAGTAGCAGCAGTATTCAAAGCTCATGACCTGTAAGTTAAATAGCATCATCTTATTGCCTACAATGAGTAACTTTTGCCTGAATGATCAATACAGTATAATTGTAACAAATCTAAATGTCCATCCGATGTCTTCATGTTCCACTGATTATTCCATTCTGATCAATGCCTGCATGCTCCCAAGCTCCACGCTCCAGGTTGAAGAGAAGAGTAACTCGTGGTCCTGGGGGATTTTGAAGATGTTAAAGGGAAAAGATGACAGAAAGAAAAGTATACGAGAGAAACCTAAAGTCTCTGAGTCAGACAATAATGAAGGTTCATCGTAAGAGCCAACCAACCAAATGCAGTGCACAATAACTACACTAATATTAATTTAATCAAATGCTACTAATATTGTGTGGCCAATAACCAAATTCTGACAGGCTTACACAGTTTTAATATTATTTTAAATTAGTCATCTTAGCTTCATTTACTTTCTGACCCTTAAACTCATGCATTTATATAAGAGAAGCACAAAGTATTTAAAACCCATCATATAGTTTTAAGATACATTTTGTTTTCCCAACAAACAGGCACAAACCCACACACACACCTCCATGGGCACACACACACCCTCACACACTCCTACACCCTCCACCTAGGAGGACTTTTTTTAACTGTAACATAACATCTAAACGCTCACAATTCCAACTCCGCATTTTATTATATAATATTTTATAGTGACTACTCCTCAAAGTATACTTACTCTTTTAAAAATTAATTTGCTTGAAATAAAGGACACGGTATGGGATTTCTTTTCTTTAAATACAGTACTTAAAGCCTTTGTAACTCTCTTCCACAATAGTGACATATTAATTCTATTTAAACTATATATTTATCCTATACTAAAGTTACTCTAAATATCTCCAGTTTGTCTAAATAAAAATTAATGCATAAGTTTTCTCTTTCCATCCAAAAATAACCCTTTAGTACAAATTCCATGCATGTGAATTTGAAAGATCTTAATCATGTTATCAGGTACATGATTTCAACCCTTTTATGAGACACTAAAACAACATTTAATAAATAGGACACTTAAAATTGTAAGTAAACATTACAAATCTTGATGAAGCATTACTCAAATATAATACTTACTTAGAAATAAAAGCAGAGATTATTTTGTTTGCTTCAATTACACAGAACCTAATTCTGATTTTGGATAATATTAACTAATGACCTCTCACACTTTCATAAAACTATGCACCATTTTTCCAATGATGTGTGTGTGTATGTTTAAAATTTAAAAAGTAGAAAGAGCAAACGTCTTTTCTGTTGCAACTAAATGCCACCCAATGCTGATTTCAAATCACTTCTCTTAATAAGCTCTTCCTCACTTGTTTCAGTGGATGTGCCTCTCATTCACCATTCTCCAGTTTGGGGATATATAGGTATATATTGGGAAAACATGGTCATATAAAGATTCCTATGACCTTTGTAAATTTCACTTCTGCATTTCTACTCTTTGAGTCCAACAAACAGTTTTGACCTGAGTCACAATGTATCGAAAATATTGAGGCCATTTAATTTACTTTGATGTAGTTTGCCCAAATCTCAGAAAACAATCTGAAAACATTGGTCCAGTGGCTATGGGCAAAATAAAACACTCAATGTCTTGACTCTTGACTTTTTTGGCTAACATTGGAGTTCAAAAAAGTCTTGCCAAATTCCAAATTAATGAACAGAAACTGGACTTGGTGGAGAAATGGAGGATGAGAAAGAAATGATAGTCGACAAATTGATTAGCCTTTATAAGCCTCCAGGCTTGTTCACGTCTCTACTAAATAAAGGACTCAGCTTCTGTGTTTATCATAGGCTGATTATAATTGTGTTCTCCTTTTCCTTCCAGTTTCCCTCCTCCTCCTAAACAATTGGGTAAGTAATAAAAACTAACTGTATATTTTATATCACATTTCTTGCAGAGAAGGTACTGCGAAATCATTGGATAGAGTAATGATATATGGATTAAAGCCCTGACCGAAAATGGTAAATTATATAACCTTGTCAAGTAACTTCGCGTTGGGTGGCCACAGTCTCTCAACAGTGAAGTAATGTGAAGAGGAAAAGGGCAGGCAAGGGGGCTGGGTGGAGTGGGCAAAGCAGGGAAAAGTGGGGACAGCTGCAATAGCGTAAACAAAAGACTATAAAGAAAGAAAAATTAAAAATAGTAAAAAGAAAGAAAGAGTTCTTCCGGTGGTGATGGTCGCGGTGGAAACAGGGATAAGCACACAAGGTGGGGGTCCCGACATTCTGCACGTCCCCCACAGCCTGATTCAATGTTGGACTTCTTCATAAAAATTTCTAAAAGCAAACCAGAGTAGATGCTGCAAGGTCCTTCTAAAACAAGATTTTTTTTAATGTATAATTTATGTTGTATTTGGGATTTTTCAATGGCTAAATGCAAAAATTTCTTCTTTGTATAATTCCAATAAGCTTATTGTTTTACCTGTACTGAAAAAAACTGTTAAAGTTTTTTCTCAGATTTACTTAAGCAAAATAAAATGTCTCACAAGAATATTCAGGGGCTTTCAAAAACTTTAATTTGTAAACAAATTTAAAAAGCAAACTAAACACAAATAAAATGTATTCTTCCAGGCTGTTTTTCTGATTTTGTTTTCAGTTATAAGTTTGAAAATGTTTAAGGAACTAATTCAAATTGATCAATAAATAATGATGACCTTGTATTGTAATCTATAATTTTCAAAAACATAGTCAAGAAACAACTCACCAAAGAGCAGGTATAAAATGTAAAAAAATGTGATCAACTAAGTAAAAAATATGTTTTTGTTTTACTTTTGTTTTTAGATGTCCTAAGTATATGTAAATGGAATAGTAAGTTTTCCTTATTTGGAAACCAATATGTCATTTTTTTCCACATATTAATATGGACTCTTCATAGCTAAGCAAGTTTTATCCTGTGAAATTAACTTACCTGAGTAGGGAGAGAAATCTGTATGTATGCATATATGTAGAAAGAGAGGAATTTTTAAAGGAAATCAAACCCTTGCCACTACCAGAGAACATTTAAACTTTCTACAGTAATCGTTCCTTAAAACATTTGTACTCTTCCACCCATCTCTTCATCTTCATTTAGTATGGATCTTTATTAACAAGAAGTCCAGGAGGAGGAAAATAATTACACATCGGGAAAGCCATTGAACTTTTTTACCAGTACTTCCTGGTTTCAGAAATCTTATTAATATAATATTCTTTCCATTCTAAAGGGGCACCACACCTAAATACCTAATTTACTACCTAAATGCTAATTTACACACCTAAATACTAATTTACTGTAGCATAAAAGTTAATGAGGAACATATCAGTGAATAAAAGAGAAGGATAGCTAGACAGACAATAGACATATACTAGAAGTATACATAAACATAAAAATAAAATGTCATATATTATTATAACTCCAAATCCCAAGAAAATCTTGATCTCAATCTTTACTGCCGATGACCAGTATGTCCATTCTTTTTGTCAGTAATCTACTAATCCTGCCATTCATCACACTTGTGAATCTTCAAATAATCTGTCACTGTTTTTTTTTTCCCTAAGAATGATAGTTACAATTATGGTGACTGGTTTTTTGAGGGAGAGTTAACAGAAGCATCCAAGGAGAAAAGAACCTCTCCCCTCAAAGAAACAGACAGTGTTCCCAGGAGAAATGTACAGAGACCACAGGGAAACGTACTTCATGGTCCTTGCAACACGAAATGCTCATATCAAAATGCTCGCTAACAGCATTTCAACATTTGATGTTTTGTCTTTTGTCAGAAGGAGGAGAGGAAGTTTACGATGATGTTGATGCCTCTGATTACCCTGTTCCGTCAGCTGAGATAAGGTAACTAAAATGCTCTTATTATAGTGAAGCAATGAAAATCAGACTGCTCAAGGAAATTCAACTAGAATCAAACTCTGACAGGGTGTGGGTCTACTGTGCGAGGTCATGTTGGTTTTGTCCTCTCCCTGATCCCAGCTCTAACTCAGCCTGGTTTCTGAGTGGATAACCCTCATCCTCCCCTCTTGTCTCTCTCCTCCCTGGCTGGTCCCCTTCCCTCTCCCTCCCGCAGAGGCCCTGCTCCCGGCTGCCTGATTATCCTCTGCTCTGTAACTCACTGACATCTGCACTCATTGGTTCGTGCATTCATTCTTTCATTCATTTGTTCATTCATTCCTTCATTCACTGGGAAAATATTTGAGAGCCTGATCACATCTTATCTCACGGATTCATCTCCTCCCTCTACTTTTATTTTTTTCTCACAAAACCATTTTGTCTTGAATCCACTTCGTAGGTTATGTATCAGTCTTCAGTCACCTTGTTTAAGCCTCTTCTATCCTCAACAAGACTTTTTTCTTTTATGAAAAAGAAGAGGATTTGTTCTTTAACAGGACTTCTATTGTGTCTCTTTTTCACAAAAGCATGAGTTTCTCAAAGGTTCTATTCAAATTAAAAAAAAAAACCAGTCAGCAGTGAATAGTGACATTCTTCAGCTCACCTAAGATTTCAATTTAATTTTAGGCTTAAATTGTAAGAAAACCTAAAATCAGTTAACACAAGAGGAGTATCTTTTGAAAACTCTTTTGAAATAGAAAATAACACAGTAGGATGCTTTTTTATAGTTCAATAAGTAAGTGAGATGATCTAATGTATACGATGTACAAAAGCAAACAACTCTCTTGCTTTTTCAAGAAAAAAGAAAGGTGAATCAAAAGATTCTGGGCTTGATTTGTTAAAGGATGAAAGTAACAAAAGTAGAATGCAATAAGGGATGTCTTCTGAGCTGTATTGGTAAAAATGCATAAATGAACTCAAAGTATTTGTTTGTTATCAAGATTGTTAAACTAATTTCACTGAACAAGAGGCAATACAAGGGTTAAAGAAACCAAAGGGAAAATACACTGTCATTTATATATGAACATTAAGCGAGAGGTGAAACAAACAAGAAAGATGAGAGGAGAATCATTCTCCCTTTTCATTACTTCATGGATGGAAAATCTAATCTTCAGTACTATGTTAAGTTTTAATATTCCTCACCGTGGGGAAATCACTTCTACCCCTGACAGTTTTTCATGCATTTTTCTATTGTGTGTCACTGTAGAAATGCCACTGGATTCCATAAAATAGCTCCATAGGAACCCAGAGGCACACACTGGCTCGCTTCTTCAAGCAAAAACACTGTAACTGATTAAATTTAACATGATATGTAACTGTCTTCTTACCGGTTGCTTATCTTCAGAGTTTAAAACAGGTTTATGTTCTCTAACATAGTACTTTATATTTGAATAAATGTCAATAAATGCTCTTCAAAGATAGCTTGTGGGGAATACTTGCCTTTCATGTGTGTTCTGATCACCTCGAAGCGCTAATCGGGGATGGCAGCCACCCCCAACCCTCCCCGCCGCACCCCTGTTCCCCGCCACCCCGCTGCCCGGGGACAGGAGGTGCGAGATCCTGGGAGGCAGGTGCTGGGCCGGCTCATCTCACAGGGAACGAACTAAGTGCTAGGGTACAAAACTTAAGGATCAGCACTTTAAACAAATCAGTTCTAAACAAAACTTCATCTTAGGTAATCTATGTAAAAATTAGTATCCGTGTTCAAAATGTTTCATTATTCACAAATAGTCTGGTTTTTAAAATTCCCTTCTGCAGAGATCCATAGTGTCCCCCTAACATCCATCTCTAACCCTAGCGAATGGCTCTCCGCCTTGGCTGCAATTCCTGTCACGAGGGGGACTTTTAAGATGTGTCGGTACAGGGACCCCACTTAGTCTAATTAATTAGAATTTAAAAGTGACTTAGTGTAATCAAGATTGCTAAGACGTAGGCAAGGGCAACACTATCTTTTAAAAGCGTCCCAGAGGACCCTGTGTGTGGCCAAGCCGGAGAATCACTGACTTAGGCTCATCAGCCTCCTGTGACAACTGGCTTCAGTCCCACTGGTGTCTATGACATACCACCCTGGCCCTGCTTAAAGTGACAAGAAAACACTAACATACAGATAAATTTTTAAGCTATGAAAATTCAGTTTTTTAAAAAGTTTTCTTTATTTAAAAGCCTTTTTTTTTTTTTTACAATGAAAAGTAGAGACATTTATTGAAGAAGATACAAGGTACAGAAGGCAATGACACCTCAGTACCCTTCAAAATAGGCACACCTTTGAAAGGGAAGAGATTTCAGACCGTCAATGAGGTTCGAGAAAATACGACGGGGCAGCTGATGGTGAATGGAAGAGCTGTGTGAGGTCCCAAGGTGCCTATTCTGAAGGGGACTGAGGCGTCATTGTCCTCTGTACAATGTAAAAGGCTTTTCTATGACATTGACCAATTTACTTAATTATCTAGGAAGGGATGCAAAATATTAGGGGTTCAAGAATAGGTTGAATCACATGAAACTGCTGACATGTGACTATGTTTAAACTATGCCACAGTGACTTTATATAGTTCGACATAATAGATCATCTCTTACTTACATTATAACTCATAATCTGAATTCTCTTAAAGAACTTCTTTGGCATTATGAAATGCCATCCTTTGTTACAATGACTATGCTGGATTTCTAGGAAAAAGAATTACTTAAAAACAAAATTTAACAAAAATGTAATGTCATGAATAAGGTTTCTGTTATATATTATTGTTTACATTTTTTAAACTAAGTGTTGTTTTACATGTGTCCTACCTCCCTAGCCAAGGATCCAAGGCCAAAACAGAAGAAACAGACCCCAAGAAGCTAAAAAAGCAAGAAAAAGAAGAAAAAGACTTCAGGAAAAAATTTAAAGTATGTCATATTTAATACCATGCGAAGTTCAAAGTGTTAATGAAAAAAATTCTATGTATTTTAAGTTCCAAAATGCATATTTTAAAAGTGTAGTTATCAAATTACAGCTATGCATAACTCCTTTATTTTCTATAAAATTTATTTTAGGTTTAAATTTATTTCTATAACAAAGTAAGAAAACTCATGTATGCATAAAATATATAGGGAAATAATCACCTAAATTAAGCTGTCCTTTGAACTTTGATAAGAAAATAATCTAAAAATAGATAAAACGGGTGTGGTGTACATACAATGGAATATTATTTAGCCATGAAAAAAGAAGAAACTCCTGCCATCTGTAAAAGCATTATACTAAGTGAAATAAGGCAGAGGAAGACAAATACTGTATGATCTCACTTAAATGTGGAACCTAAAAAAAAGCCAAACTCATAGAAACAGAAAGGAGAATGTGGGTTCACCAGAGGCTAGAGTGGTGGGGGAAATGGGGAGATGTTGGTCAAAGGATACAAACTTTCAGTTATAAGATGACTAAGTGTTAAAGACTAAAGGTGCAGCATGGTGATTATAGCTAGCAACATTGTATTATATACTTGAAATTTGCTAAAAGAGTAAATCTTAAATATTCTTACCACAAAAATGAAATGGTAATTATGTGAGTTGACAGAGGTGTTAGCTAATTACAGTGATAATAAATTTGAGATAGATGAGTGTATAAAAGCATAAATGTACACCTTAAACTTTTTATTTTTTTTTAAATTTTAAAAATAGATATTATATTAGATTAGTGAAATTATATGTGATTTTTCCCCCAAAACACTTTTTTTAGTGTTCTTACATTATCTTTTAAATAGAAGGAACTATAGATAATTGTTTAGCAAAGATTTTCATAATAAATATATCAATAAGTGAATTACTTTAATAATACTTATCAGTCAATAATGTATTTTTAATTCTTCCAGTATGATGGTGAAATTAGAGTCCTATATGCAACCACAGTTGCCCCATCCTTAACTACTAAGAAGTGGGGGAACAAAGATCTACAGCTGAAGCCTGGTGAATCTCTTGAAGTTATACAAAACACAGATGATACAAAAGTTCTCTGCAGGAATGAAGAGGGAAAATGTAAGTCACTGGTTACTCTACATCAGCAATTTTCAACCTTTTTCATCTCACGGCACACATAAACTAATTACTAAAATTCTGTGGCACACCAGAAAGATATGTTATTTTTTGCTGATCTCACAAAAAAGATATAATTTTGATTGACTTATAAAAAAATTAATAATAGTAATTATCTACCCTTTTTGCTCTGAAGTGACTTTTTAAAAAATCAGTTATATATAAAGATTTCTGGCCAGGAATTAACTAATCAGATGCAACCTTATTATGCAACATGACCAATAAGATGCAACTCTGTTACATGACCCATATATTTATGGTTCAAGACAGAGCACTCACACAAGAGGGCTATTACTGTGTTGGCTGTTGTCATTTTTTTGACAATCTAAGGCAATACAGGCCAGTGCCCCTGACTAAATAACTATTGCATGTGCTAAAATTCTTGCAGCGTGCTGGTTGACAATCGCTGCTCTGCAAAGAGATAGACCTCCAGAATTTAACAACCAAACAAGGTTCCGTGATCACAGCTGTTTTTATTAACCCTTTTGTTCTGCGCTTTGTGCATTATGGAAAACATTAAGAAATCTTACTGTGTTGCAAGCAACGGGTTTGATTTTCATCTCTTCTCATTTCCCGTCTGCTGTATCTCACACTACAGAGCCAAACTGGTGCTTCTCAAAAATGAGGTCCCACAGACACGCAGCCTCAGGAGACCCTTGAGGGCACACTGAAATCGTAGTTGCCTGGACCCACCTTTGACTTCCTGAGTTGTGAGCTCTAGGGGTCAGATGGAATCTGTGATCCTAACTCTTCCCTGGCTTCTTCTTGTATAAACTGAAGTAAGAACCACTGTGCTAAAGTAGTGAGTGGCACTAGCTCTGGCCTGGCTTTGAAATTATATGACATATGTCATGTCACACCTAGAATTTCCAGTTTTCCAACCGTGCAGATTCACTTGTTTTCCTTTCCTATCTGGACACACATGGTATGACATACTATGAAAAGACAGCTCCTGTCTTCTTTGACTCTGTCAGCTCTTAAAGCAGACAGATGGAAACATTTATTGTCAAATGTGTAAAGAGAAGCTTATCTGACTTAAAGGTGAAGAAAGAGCAATTCAAAACTCTGTGCTTCTATATTTAAAATGGGATGGGCAGCCAGCACGGCAGCCCCACATCAGCTAAGTTAGTTCATAGGAAACAGGAGCTCCATATCGAATTTTAAACCCAGGAAGATGACTCAGGGACAGGAGCTTTAAGAACAAAATGCAGTGACAAGGCTGAGAAAAATGGATGTAAAGGCATCTTGGAGGAGGTGCGGTTGGCTTTTAAAAGAAGAGAGCAGAACTTACTTACGAAAGAAAGACAAAAGGCAGGTGGAGCGTGGTATTGAGATTTGAAGCTCATGGAGATAAAACATGAACAGAACGCCAGGGAGCAAAGTCCCTTCCAGGCCAGCACCCGTGAGGGTGTACCCCTTTCTGATCTAGCCTCATCCTCACAACTACTTCCCCTTTGCAACTGACACTCCAGAATTATAAACTCCTTGCTTGTCATTTCCTCAATAAATTATGCTATTTCATCCTTCTACACTATTTTATTCTCAGCAGAATGCCCAGAATTGTCTATTTAAAACAATACAGTTGTCATTTGAAATTGGACACACTCTCTACTCCCCAGCCACCCCACCAAAACGAATACGTCCCTAGCTCCACCAAGCTACGATTGATGCTTCTGTTGCTGTAATTGCCTAATTGTTTCACCAATCTATTATTCTGATTAGACTCTGAGAGTAGCTTCAATGAAATGTTCTCAGCACTGTTATGCCAACACATTCTACAGTGCCTGGCACCTTGCTTAGGGCTTGCTAAATAGCATTTGACAATTGGGAGCCTGCAGCTGGAGAAGCAGATGAAAGTCTGGCATACAATCTCTCACAGGAAAATGTCTGTTGAATAGTTGAACTGGTTAGAAAACAGGAGTTCTCTATCTGAGCCTTAGTAATGTGGTTCACTTGTTGCATATCATTTGGGAGCCTCTAAACTTTTCAGTTATTTATTTCTATTTATTTTTCTATTTCTTATTATTTCCTTCTGATTAGCCGCAAAGGCATTTGCAATCCAATGCCATGGCGATCCTAACACTGTCTTTCCTCTTCCTTCTTTAATCCGCCAAAGGAAAGAGCGCATCATTTGCTTATACCTAAGGTTGGTAACAATAGAAACTAGAGGCTAAAGCATGAACAATAACCCTTCCCGCGGTGGATACAAGCCACTGTCACAGGCAGTATCACATCTGATGAGGTCTCACCCGCTGACTTGTGAGCACTATGGCAGAGCCGTGGGGACCTGAAGGAGATATTTGGTCCCGGATGTTTGGAATTTCTCTCTAGTATTTGTGCATATTCCCCAACTCAATGTCTCAGAAGCTGTGAGTTTTCCCACCTCTTGTCACTGGAGAAAAAAATTCTGCAAAAATATGCAGTGATACACAAGCTATTTGTGGCAAAAATGTCCTCCGTTTCTCTGGGGCGTTGGAGAAAGGGGGATTTCAAAGGCGCTTTAAGTTTTCCCAAATCTAGTCGATTGTTTCTTTGCTTAAGTAATTTTGTGTTCAGTTTGAAAACAATGCATGCTTACTGAAGAAGATATTTTAAATTCAGAACTTTGAAAAGCCACCCTGATTTGAAGCCTCAGAAATAAGAGAGAAAGAACATTTTCTAAAACTAGGATAATACTATAATAATTTATATTCAGTATTATACACTGCCTATTCTTTTTTTGTTTTATCATAGTATGAGCATTTTTTATTGAAATTGTACATTGTTCCACTTGCCTGGATTAATCGATGGGATACAATTTCATTGCATTTTTTAAACTGCATGAAACCAAATTGAGTAGATTTGATTTTATAAGTGGACTTGCTCACAACAAATGAAATAATGAGGAAATAGTATAAGTTGTCATTTTTATCAAGTAAAAAAATTGAAACTATTAGAATGCAGATATTTTCCATTCCTGAAAGATGGCGTTCTATTTCCTTAGTAATGTCGTGTTCCCAACAGCCCTCGCAGAAGTGAGTCATTGGCCCTGGGACACAGCCGCCCCGTGGCAGGCAAACGCTGGGTGAAGGCACAGATTGGGGGTGGGTGTCACTTTCTTAACTAGCTCTACCCCACCGCATGTTTCAAAACATTTGCTTCAAGCCACTGTGTTCTGTTCTATGAATGCGAGGATTCCAAATAATAATTTCATATTCTTGTGAGAATCTCTGCCAAAACCCACAACATCACGGGGCTGACTAACCATGGCAGCCATTCTATGTGAGACAGAACCGTCAGATAGTTTTCTTATTAATTTCCTTAGTTTGTACTTTTCATTATCATTCCCTTATGATGTATGCACGTGGAACACGTGAGCAAAGAGAGCATTTTTCTACTGCAAAGAAATTATTTCTAGAAACTATAATGGAGAGATTATATAAAAAATTCATGGCAAGTCACTTGTTTTGACACTGTCATGATTCACGCTTTTCACAGAATGAAGTTTTAGCAGAGGTTTTTAAATGCACTACACAGCAAAAACTATGCTGTATAAAAAAGTCATTAGCCCTGTAAAGATGCTATTTAATAGTCATTTTATACCTAATGAGCCCCCAATTATCACCTCATTTTAGGGAACTAAAATATAGCAGTATGGTACCATGCCACTTAATCTCCTTGATACATTTTTCTTAAAAATATACACAATCATTGCTGCTTATGTATCAAACACACAACAGCAACAAAAATGGAGCATTCAACAAAAGAGAAAGCTACCCCTTAGAACTCTTGAACAGGAAAGCTACAGGAAGGATTGTAATGGGGCCATGAGAATCTAAGAGAATATGTTTTTATAATTTATTTTTGTGAAGTTAGATAATTAAGATGGATATCACGAGTTACTAACTTTGGCACATAGAAGACTGTTTTAGTGCTTAATTACAGATAGTGTTTTATCCACGTCTACACAATTTTTGCATACTTGAGTTTTAAAAAGTAGATTACCTAACAGCACAGGAAAATAAAAACCTTTCATTACCAAAATCATGATTATATTCTCTTTATGTTTATTACTCTTAATCTAAAGATTTTTTAAACCAGAAATATGTCTGATGCCAGAGTACTTCTAGTCTCTTACAACACTTTATAATTTCTTATACATTTCTCTAATTTTCTGCCTTTTAATTTTAGCTCAGAGAGTCTATAAAGCCCCAACAATTCACAATGAGACTGATGTAATTGCTAAAAGCTTTGGTTCATATATGTCATTATTTTAAAATTTTTAACTTAAACATGAACGTAACATGGGAACGCTTACAGTTGTATTGTTTTGTTTTCCAATTTTTAAGAGAAAATTCAGAATGAAAATAAAACCACAAATTTTAACAAAATAAAAGTTTTGTGACTATTACTGACTATAGAGAACCGTTCCCATTTTATTTTGGCTCCCAGACATATGTACAGGGAAAGACAGATTTCAGTCACTGGAACCCCACACAAAACCACAGGTTATTCTAACACCTTGTTATCTGCACCAACCTTCTCTTTTAAGAGACACACATATAATTGTGTTAAATTATGATATATATCTTAATTCTTTCAAATCTGTTAGCGTGAAATAGATGAAAGAACTATGATATCGAAGACTACTTCAGGATAAGTATTAATTTTAGATGTTCTTACATTAATAACTTTTGCTACTTTTGCTTTGACTGGAATAAAAAGAAGGTATACAGTGGTCTAATTTTTCATACTCGGAATAAAATAGTACCTTACTGTGCTTTTATCATTTTGAAACATGCTTCATTTTCTTCCATACTACAGGAATTCAAAGAAAACCTTGATTCTTTCTTTTTGCAGTATTATTCTTATAAACAATTTTTATTTGAAGGTGGTGAGTTTCTAGATGAAAAATTTTGGTGAAGTTTTTTGTCCCTGGAATATTTCAAGGGAAAGTTTATTTTCTTAAGTTTTAATCAACAATTTCAGTTGCACATTTTAAAAATATGTTTTTACATGTTAAATCAATAATAATATGACATCAATGTGTTTAAGTAAGTTCATTATCACTTGTATCAATCCACACTTACGAGCTTTCTGGCTTATAATTCTTACATGTTTACTCTGATTTCGAACCCAAACTAATCCTTAAGTGGATCAAGATGAACAGATTGACTTAGGGAAAGACGTGATTTAGAGGCTGTATTGACAAGCTAGTAAGTGGTACTGATACCCAGCATACAACAGAGTTTAGGCAGTAACACAAAACTAGTAATTTCAAAGGTTAGTGATATTAGTTACATGTCAGCAGACCTTTCCTAAAGAAAATGGTCCATATTTTTTGGAGTATTTTACACAGTGAGGGGCAATCATAAGGTGCCCAAAAATTATTTTTGTTTTCTTGCATAAAATACAGTCTATTTCCTACTTGCCCAGGGAATTACTTGAATCCCTTGTACGCGTTCTTCTGTAATGATTTGTTCGATAAAAGATGAAAATGCAACAACTGAGACTGTTCAACAGCAAAGGCAGTAGAGGAGGATCTTCCACCCCGGACATCCTAGAGCCGTGCTGGGACCCCTTAGAATGAATGTTCCCCCAAGTAACCCCTAGAGAGCTGGTGTCTGCCCGCAGTCCTGATCCTGCCCCGTATTATAAAATCTGAAGTGTGAAGTCTCAGATGTGGTGGTATTTAAAATACCTACCTATGAACTACTTTTGTAATGAGAGAAACTATGCTTACTAAATTCTTCCTAAAATAGGTCACCTTAAAAAATAGATTAACGTTTCCTTATACTTTATAAGTAAAGAACCTTATACTACAACCTCCAGTAGTTTAGAGAGGTAGAAAAAATTTATATATATTTTTTATTCATAGGGGAAAGGAGGAAGCATTGTAAATGGAGGAAAAGAGACAAGTAGGAGAGAAAGAAAAATTAGAAAAGAAGAAAGGAGAAAAAAATGGACAGGAGGAAATGCATCATATTTGAAGACAGATACAATTATTCGATATATTATGTTATATTAAAAGAAATAGTAAAGATTCTTCAAGTCTGTACTACTAATAATATTTATTTTCTTTTTCTTTCATAGATGGTTATGTTCTACGGAGTAATTTGGTGGACAAGTAAGCCAATTTTCTTCTCCTCTTATACTTGTAAAAAATGTTATGCTTTGCTTTAGGAAAGATTCTTAATATCATTTAAAATCATCTACTGAACTATCATACATTTTTAAACAATATGCTATACTGATGTCATATAAATGTCAGTACCCCTAATAAAGTTAAGGTTTTCATGAGGCATCACTTTAAATAGACAAGAAACTCTTCTCATTCATCATTCTACAGTTCACAGTTTTATATATTCATTGGAGACAGACATTGCGAACACGGGAGACAGGTCAAAGCCACTGACACTTTCATTAACACTTTGCATTTCACTTACTGATTAATGCAGTTGGTTAAGTGAAATAATCAGGGACCAATTACTGTCTTTACAGTAGGTGCTAGTGTCACCTGTTAACAGCTTACAGTCTGGCCCTTAATGGGGGACTTTTCTTTTCTCACACCAGACATAGTAGAGTATTAAGTTGTCTTTTTTGGAGGCATGCCAGAAAAAAGATAGTAGTCAATGATTCTTCTATCCTTATGAATAAGACGTTGTCACAGTCTGGTAGTAGTATGCTATTAGAGTCCCTCCAAACATTATGAGATTCTGTTCAAGTAAACGGGCGCAAGAAAAGGACTCCATTATCAGGTTGTGCCATATTCCAATACAAAGATCTACAGAGTTCAGCGTTAAAAAAAACAAGGAAGATTCACACACTGTATCCTTAAGCAGCCTGACACCAATCAGAAAGAGACAAATCAATGTTAAGGGCTCTGTCTGCAAAAGAAGAATGTTCTTAATACTTTTATTTTCTTCAGAGCATTAACCACGGTGCTGGCCATGGGACTTCTCAATGGGTTTTATTCTATGAAAGGTAGAGATTTCCAAGAAAGAGTGTATGGTAAATAATAGGACAATATCTTCCCCAGAGATTGTGAAGGATGATTAAAAGGGAATTTAGAAAATATCCCCTGTAAATAATTGTTGGTTTACCACCTATTAAAATGAATACTTCATGATTCTTTTGAATGAACAATAGGAAAATCTGTGCTCTTTGCCTTTGTATCAGATTTCTGTTAGCCAAAGCCTCCCTCAGTCTCAGAGCAAGGATCCAGACAGAAGACATAGGGAACTCAGAGCATCTGCCACAGTCGGCAGCACTTGAAAGGGCCCGTGGCTGCTCCGCGACAAAAGCACAGGGCTAGTACAGGAACCAGATGTGGGTCTGGTCTAAGTGACAAAGTCACCTTACATTTCTGGGCTTTGAAGCTGCATCCTACGTTTCAAGACTATGTTAATATTTTTAATACTTTCTATTTTTACATGTATATCATTTTCTCCTCCATTAAATTATAAGCTTCTTGAAATCAAAGCTTATGTCTTACTCATATTTATATCTCCTGGTATTTACAAGGTACTCAGTCTAATAAAATAGAATACTTCACAAAGACTCGGGGCCAGGTAAAGCCTAAAGCATGTAAAAATAACCAGAGCTGTTATTGTGGATGCTGCCCATCACCATAAATACTTTTTGAATTATATAAGAATCACCCTACTAACTATATCTTTGCTACTTATTACTGATATGTGTGTGTTTTATAATTAATATTTGTAAATTATAGTTAGAAAGATGCAAAATGATGCATCCATTTCCTGTCTCAAATACCATATTTCATTTAACGTTTGAAATTCAAGTAAAAGTATAAATCTGATATTAACAGGTATAATGAATCCATTAACAATTTATTAGACCCTCGAGCAGTTCTAATGCTCCATGATTTGTCAGTTTGTTTAGTTCAACAAAAGCGCTTCTTCCCAAGCTCAGCTGCGTGCCGGGCTCACTGCTGGGCGTAAAGAGTAACGCCTGGTCTCTGCTCTTCAGGCACGTTTCCATTATCCGATGTGTCTGATAATGAGAAATAAATAGTGGGGTTTTGCTTTTTTCTTTTTCTTTTTTTTTCTTTTAGAATGAAACAGATGGTTAGATTAAGCAAATGAAAGAAGATGCAGATGAAAATGAAATTTCTTCCCACTTATAAATGCATAGTAACTTCTCACTCTTAAATGCCTGTGTCATATAAAATCATAGTATTAAAACCTTCTGTTCTAAATATTGCTTCAATGTTAAAAAGATATTTTTTTTAAATCAAATTTATTTTCTATGCTTACAGTGACGGAGAAATCTATGATGACATTGCTGATGGTAAGTGTCCCATGGCACCTGCCGCAGAGAACAGAAGCAGTGAATTTACTGTTCTTACAAATACTAACAATAGCTTGCTGGATTAATTAGAACCTTCCCATCTGAGCAGAATTTGAATCACTTGAAAATGTTAGAAAAGGTAAATGTGCTTGTATAATGAAAAAAATTCCTTCTACACATGGCTGTAAATCAAGGAAAAATCTCGTTTATTTTCCTTGAAAACAGAAGTAGGAAAATATTTGGTGAATTTTTTATTATACTGTGAATGCACATCTTTGCCCAACTGCTTTCCCACACACAAAAAAAATATGTATTTGGTACTTATTTCATAACCTATAACACTAGTATTCCCTAAGCATTATATATTCCTAAATTATGATCTAAAAAATTAATCTCAACCGACATGAAGCATAGTGTCAACCATGTTGCCTTTAGTCTCCTTTTAAACTTGTTCTTACTGCTATTTAATATTTTCAACCTCATTCAGAATGACTGCCACAAAGTACATTTAATTCAATGCCAAATAAAATAAAATAACCCTGAGTCATTTTGATAGAGAATAAATTTGTCCATAAACTTTACTGGAATTGAATACTGAGCAATAGAAGTTAAATAAATATATGACCTTCTACTTTCCAAAATCCTAAACCAGAAGCATGTGAATCAACCATATCTCCAACCTTGGAACACTCACAGGGTATGTGTGTTGCATAACATTATCTAAATTTGTAATTTTTTCTTTCAGGTTGCATCTATGACAACGACTAACTCTCAGCTTTGGCCATTTGATGCCAACATGAAGTCTGAGCTTTAATTGGCATATGTTATTGATTGTCACAGAAAACAAATGTACAAAACTACTTATCATTTGTTATAAAATTATGATTATGTTGATAAAGTTTTGACATTGTGGACTTACAAAATGATCTCTCTGCTTAAGCAACATCTGGGAAGACTGTATCAATGAGATGTAAACATTATTAAATATCCCACTTCTGTCTCAGCTATAATTATAAAGATGCTTCTTTTAGACCATCAATAGCAAACTCCATCCCCAAAAAATTATTTGAGAAGAGATGACTGTGTTGTCTAAAGAAATATAAGGAAGAACCATAAAGAACTATAGAAAAAGAAATTTTAAAACATCCACGAGAAGAAAACTATTGTTTGCACCTCTAATTTTGACTGTGTCTTCTTTCTTGCTGGTGGGTTAAATGTTTTTTGAAAATTATACTTGTAGCAGAAGTTCTGTATAAAGTTTGTCCCTATTTGTTAATTGTGAATATGTGTTAATTGTTTCATAAGAATGTATGCATTTGGGTATGCACATCTAAGATTAAAATGAAAGAAGAATCTAAAATAAGTTTTCTTTTTGCAGATTCAAATGCTAACAGGGTAATTCTGTATTCTGTATAAAGTACTGTTATAACTGGAGTAGAGGTGAATGAGGATTACTCTAAAATTATGCAGAATGAAATTTGGACTTCGAAATTACCCTTTTATGATGCTTCTTTACTATGAAGACTTTTTTTAAGTTTTTGGCTTTGTTTTTCAGTTACCTCTGTGGAGCTTTTTTTTTTTTTAAACCACTTTACTGGAAAGTTGTCCAGCAGAGGGAGTGCAAATCAGTAAATCCTAATGTCTGCGTTGGCGGGTTCCTGCTGACATGTCCTCTTCCCAAAGCGGCCCAGAAACAAAACATGAAGCATCGGGGTCCCAAATGCTAAGAACACTAAATACCATGATATAAAATACAAAACCCCAACACCCAAGAAAATAGTTTCTGGAGTGTGACCCCAAGGAACTGAAGTAATTTCAAATGATTATAAAGAACCTCAAAGCCTTCACATGGGTAAAGTGGGATTTCCAGCAGATATACTGAAATTTGAAAATAGGTCATCAGCTTCTATCCCTCAATTTGTAGACTTTGCAAGTGTGAAACCCCCAAATGAGAAGCCACTGATCTCAAAGATCCCTGCCAGTTATGAAATACTTTAATGTCTACTTTTTGATAGGGAAACCAGTTTATGCTCACATGATGAATTTAATACCAGCTAAAATCACATAATTCAGAATGGTTTTGTTTGTTAAATTTGGTAACAGATTTACATAATATACTGACAGCATATTTCCAGTTATTTTTATGTGATTGAGAGTAAATAAATTCAATAGAGTATCAGTTTTTTAAATTCTAAATTAGATCAAGGCAATATATTTTAGAGTTTGGGTTTATACAACCAAGAAATAGATGCACACACCTGTGAAACATTTATGTAATTGATAGCCATCTTAATACAAAATAAATATTTGAGGTCTTAATTTTAATATACTAAACATTATTTCTGTTACAGTTTTATGTATGGAATTTTGTCATGTGAGAAGAGCAACAAATAAATACTACCTTCAGCCTTCCTCTCCCATAACTTGCTGCCACATCTGAGCCCTTTATTACCCTTTTTTGCTTCAGCCTCAGAGGATGGGGTACCTCCTACTCAAGACCTCACCTTCCATTGGTGCTCCTGATAATTTGTCTCTCATTTCATGGTAGACATTGAGATAACCAAATGCATTTTCCTCCAACTTCCAACAGTGTTCAACCCTAACCCCATATCCAAACACTAGCTTAGAGAATAAGATGCCACTTCTCAGATTCAAAGCCACAGCCTTAATCCCATTTCTTCCTCTTGCCTGCCCTGGAGTTTTCTTCCTCTACAATTAATTTATTCTCTTTCCCTTTCCCTTTCCTTTTCCATTTCTCAGTCTCTCCTCCCCCCCACCCCCGTCTCTCACACACACATGCCCTCTCTATCCATCTGTTCTTCCCTCCTCTTCTTTCCCTTTAACTTACCCCATTGTGTAGATTCCCTCCTCTAGGCTTACAAATATATTAAAGTCTTTCCCATTCCAAAAAAAAAAACAGCAGTAAACCTTCCATTGAATCCAAATACTTCTCCAACTACTGCCCATTTCTATCTTCCTTTCCCTTATTCCATTGTCTTAAAACTGTAGGGAGAATGTGCCTTCCACTCCCCAACGCTGAGGAAATTAACTGCCTAAGACCCCAGCTTCCGCCTCCTGAAATCCATCGCCGGCTGTGCCAGCACCGTGCCCCGCGCAGGCTGCTCCTGCGGAGCCAGTGACTGGGCCTGCCTGGCCTGATCCTGAAAAGTCCCGAGGCACTCAGGTGGCAACGTCGGTTTGAGGACCACCCAACAGCCTTGCGAAGCCTTCCTTACCTTGCATTGCCCTCTGCGCCACTTCCACCCAGCCACCCCTCCCTTCGCCGGGTCAGACTGGCATTGTTCTGAACGGTTCCTCCAGCCCTCCCCGGCTTCCTCCCCATTTCCTCTCGCACATGTACTTTGCTCAGGAAAAAAAATTTAATGCGTCTTCACCCATCTTGGTGTCCGCTTTCCAGAGGATCTGAACTGAATACAGCACGGCGGAAAAGTTTGTAAAAATACACATCTTTCTCTGCAGAGGAACTGGATCAGAATCTCTGTGGGAAGAGTATTTTAATCAAATTCTAATTAACTCTAATAATGAATTTCGTGTTTAGCCACTAAACATCTTCAGCCAACCAGATGAGAACCATGAGAGTAAATGCGACCCTTCTGAGTTATGTGGGCTACATTTGGGCCCACATGGCCAACCCTTTGGCTCCCGCCTCACTTACGACCAGACTGGGCCACCTGGGAAGGGCATGACCTTGTGCTCGATGACGAGCTGAGACAGACCCTGAAGGAGCAGACAGCTGCCAGGTCCAGCTGCATGCAGCAATTCACCACTCCCTGAAAGGGGGCCTGGACGTCCCCGTCCATGAATGAAAGGAAAGCATAGACCATGGAGACAGACAGCACGGACAGCTCTTTCTAGGAATTAGACCATAAAGCTTAGAAACACGATATAAGTCATAGCCAGATAGGAAAATTTTAAAGGTGTTTTTCTTAAATTTTGTTTTGAGGAATGGTTTGTCTTCTAAGACAGAAAAGACTTGAGCTTATTCAAAAGCTAAGAGAAGGTTCTAGTTGAGAGAGGAAAATGAAAACATAAGAGAAATGAGGGATAATCAAAGATCTAAACTTCTTGAAAAGATAGATATGCAATTTTTCTTAACAATATTTATTTCTTACTCCATCTGTGAAACGGTAAGCACTGTCCTGCACATATCACAAGGACTCAACTATCACCACTCATCATCATTATTATTATCATTAAGACTAATTTTGAAATACTTGCTGATGTTGCCTATATTGTCACAGTTGTGCCTCATAGTTAAAGCTTCATTTTAGTGACTGTGCACATCATTTCTTCTGACTCCTGCTTCAGATGACCACCTAAGTTATGTCACCTTAAACAAGAGTAGTCTGAACTTTGCTAACGTACTCAGGATTTTCATTTATAAAATATGAAAGTACCTGCCGTACAGGGTTGTACATACTTCAGCAGTCAGTGCAGTGTCTGACACATACTAACTGTCCTTGTCTCCTTGCCTGCTAGTTTGCTATGACACACTTTGGATATGTCAGTGCGATGGAATCCTATCATGATGAGCATGACTTCAATGGCAGTAAACTGGCTTGGGGTCCCACTTATTTGCTAGCTGACATTTGAGGGTAAGATGGAATCACTTAAGGTTAAACACAATAAAAATTTAAAAGTAATGAATAAATGCAATGTCCTTGCCAGGTCCAGTTTCTACATTTGAGTATGAAGTTCCAGACTGGCACATCATTTTGTATTTGGTGTTTCCAGCAACTACACTTAGGGAGATAGTCATCAAATAGATAGAGATATAGATGTAGATAGATGATATATAGGTAGATATAGATATAGATATACAGAGAGAGAGATGGACACACCAGGGTATATATTTTTTATATATTAAACACACAGTATTATTTTTACAAGAAAAAATGTGCTATCATATACATATGTATATGCACTTCCTCAGTTTTTCTTGAAGAATTTGGTCTTCTATTTTTTTCTGGCTCACTTTGGTTAGGGACATTGGTACAGAAATGATTGTTTCCTACAAGAAACACCATAGTGTCAACATGATGGTCAGTGGTAGAAGACAAGTGACATGTAGCTTCAAGGTGGGCGCCATAGAGACGGGTGGGAGCTGTGATAATCAATGGAATATGAGCTCTGTGCACAAGACCGAGCGGCTGGTCAGGCTGGCCGCTCTTGGTTTGGCCCCAGACCCCCCCCCCCCCCCCGACTTTCCCCGTTCTGCTCTGTGCCCCCAAGACCAAACTTTATGGGCTGCCTCAAGAGGCCCCCTTGCCTTAGAGCTTCCGGTTTCGTTTTGCCAACGAGGAGCAGCAGCCAGCAATCCGAGGGACAAGGGAGAGAGGTTTGGACATTTACTCCTCCGGCTTCCTGCTTGAGGTCCCTTCACGAGTGGCTCTGTCCTTCACCCCAGGTCACAGCCCTGTCCGTCAGGCTTCTTCACCTTGTGCTGACTCTGTGGGTTCCAGTCTTCTTCTTCTCCCTGTTCCTTCTGGATTTGCAGCCAGTCCCTGAGGTGACCAGTTGCAGGGGACTGCCCTTTACTACATGGTTTCCCTACACACCGTCCACACATTTGCAAACAGTTCTCAAGTTTTCCACCTTGAGTTTGCCATTCGTCTCCCACCTGTGACCTACTGATAATATGACTCCACTCTGATGGACTCTGCACTACTGATAGTCCTCAGTTTTCAAAAGAAACTCTTTAGCAAGATTTATTTATATATATATATATAATTTCTATTATTTTTTCCAGTTGATTTAATTTTTCTGAAATGAACTATTCAGACCAAAAAAATCATGCCTGTAGGCCAGATTTGACTCCTGTGGCGAGTCTGCAACACCGGCCACTTACAATGGGAAATTAATCAGATGAAGCACACGTTGCCCTGTAGCCATCCAGCTTGCCAAAAAGGAGTCTTTTCGTGTGGGTGAGAGATGGAAAAAATGTATTTCGTGCCTATGACACCCAGATTTCATTTCTGTTAGTAGCACCAAATGCCACTGAAAGGTCTAATAGGAATGCAATCATAAAAACTAATGCTGCTGCCCACAAATTCCTCAGCACCTGATATGTTGCAAATGCTATGGCCTGGAATCAAACAGAAATTTTAAGTCAAATTGTAGTTTGGCACTTGCCCAACTGAGAATAATAGTCAATAGCTAATATATAGGCTGTTTGTGGCCATGTTCTTATTAGCAAAGGAGAGCAAAAAAATGCCTTTTTGGCCACAATGTCAGCCCTTTCATCTCAGTTCTTGGAAAAAGATCTTTGAAACACTGTGGTATCTTTCAAAACTTGAAGTTGACAAAGAGTTTTACTCAGGCATGTAAACGATCTCTTTCCTT